CAACTCCCAGAATTCCTCAGCCAGCATGCTTTGAGATGGGTGGACTCCAACTCCCAGAATTCCCCAGCCAGAAGGCTTTGAGATGGCCGGACTCCAACTCCCAGAATTCCCCAGCCAGCAGGCTTTGAGATGGCTGGACTCCAACTCCCAGAATTCCCCAGCCAGCAGGCTTTGAGATGGGTGGACTCCAACTCCCAGAATTCCTCAGCCAGAAGGCTTTGAGATGGGAGGACTTCAACTCCCAGAATTCCCCAGCCAGCCATACTTTAAGATGGATGAACTCCAACTCCCAGAATTCCCCAGGCAGTTTAAGATGGGTGGACTCCAACTCCCAGAATTCTGCCCCAGTCTCTTCTTAAAAACCTCCAATATTGAAGCACCAACCATTTCTGGTGGCCAGCTATTCTTCTGGTTAATTGTTCTCATGGTTAGGAAATTTCTCCTTAATTTCGGGTTGTTTGGGGAAATAAGTATTTGAAGGACCGCCGCTTCTTTCTCTTATTCTGATAGACCCCTCGGGCAGGGTTTGGACTAGAAGCAGGGGTGGGATCTGACCGGTGTAACTACCGGTTCGGTGATTTTACATTTTGTGTAAAATGTAAAATTTGTGCGCGCATGTATAATGTCGTCATCCAGCTGCCTAGACAGCTGAGCAGCGCTGCGCGCGGGTGCGCAGCGGTTAAAAAAGCCCCTTTTTCCTGCTTTTTCAACCTCAGCTGTGTCGCGCAAAGCAGCTGCGGTTGAAAACGCAGGAACTAAAGGTCAGGTAAGAGCCCGGGCGGGCGGGTAGGCCAAAACAGCAGCAGACATAGAACCGGTTCTACGTATGCTCTCGTGTTTGCTGCTTTTCAGAGCAACCGGTTCTACAGAAGTGGACCGAACCGGTAGAATCCCACCCCTGAGTAGAAGACCTCTGTGGTCCTTTCCCACTCTGTTATTCCGTTGTCATATTTATATGGCTAATGCAGGTTGTGTGACAGTAAGTGAGTGAATCAACTTCCACCCTTGACTGGAACTCTGCAGTTTTTAATCTTTCTTCTGAAGCTTCGCCCGACTCTGGTCACTTTATATTTTAGCAGTTCCTGAAGTTTCATGCCTCTATGCAGTATTACCTGGATCCGAAGAGGTATCAATACGACAAATTCTGGATTGGTTTGGCCTACGATATCGTGGAAAGGAGATGGCTGTGGATAGACGGAACCGCCTTCAAGCCCAGTCGGTAAGTTCTGTCCGGAAGGGGTGATTTCTCAGGCTCCCCCTTACATTGTGTGAACCTGAATAACAGATGGTTGAAATTGGTCTCGCATCCTTGACCGTTACATTTCAAATTGTTCTCAGCGAACACCAGTAGCTCAAGGTTGAACTGTGAAGGTCCTGGGTGCTCTCTGAACTGGGTGGGGGTTTTTTTTGCAGATGTTTCACGACCCAGCTAGGTAACCTTAGCAGTGCTAGAAGGAGGGGTGGGAATTGTGGAGAGAAGGAGGAGGACTATGGGGTTCTTGGTGGCCTCTGAGCTCGGTGGTTTTCTTGCAGACGTTTCATGGCCCAACTAGGGAACATCATCAGTGCTAGGAGGGAGGGGGTTTGCACGGAGGAGGAGGAGGAGGAGGAGGAGGAGGAGGAGGAAGAGGAGGATAAGGAGGAGGAGGAGGAGTGAGAGGAGGAGAAGGAGGGTAAATCAGTACTCCTGTTGACTGATGAGAGGCCCTGTTTCCCAGACTTCAATTACTTTCCTGGCTGTTTTTGTGCCTGCTCATCCAACTATCTTAGTAGCTGCTACATTGAATGTATGTCCTTGTTTATTGCAATGTGAGGCTACCAGTGAGCTTGGGACTCTTTGTCTGACCACTCAGTTGTGTTCTTGAAATCTGGTGGTTAACTTCCTCCCTGTCTGTCCTACATAGTCACAGTGGCAATCCATGCAGGGGATCTGGTAGATTAGTATTGGAAGTATCTCCCATCTCCAAGCGATCTTCATGGATCATAATTTGTACCGTAGCCTCTGGGCGGTGTGTGATGCCCACTTGCAGATCTTGGAAGCTGCATTCTACGGCTTCCGAAATGTTTTTGATGGATGGCAGGGTGTGCCACGTAGTCGATCTTGTACCTTGTTTCTTCCTTTCTGCGCCCACCGTGTTGCGCAGACATCTTGTGACAGATGATTCTGCCTGAATTGTTCACGTAGGGACTTGCTCTCCAACTGCTTGGCTTGCTAGATGCTATAGTGAGTTCTCACCCATTGTGTGTTCTCATGCCACTCTTTTTCTGTGATAGTGGATGGTTATTGTAGAAATTCAGAATGTGTGGAGTGTTGGGGGCCATGCGATACGCTCTGGTTTCTAGCCTTCCATCTTCTTGTCTGTTGACAAGCTCATCTAAAAATTGTCTAGCTGTTTCTTCCTGTGCTGTCCGGACAGTATATGGGAATTGAGTTAGTTAAGTTAGAATAGGGAGCTATCCCTTTAAGGGAATGCCTCATGGTAAATGTAGCTAAGGCATCCTGGGAAATGTAGTTCATGTCATGTGGTCACATCTGTAATCCTGATTGGTCACTGAATTGACCCTTGGTGGGGCGAGGGAGGGTCCTTCACTCTTGCCTGGACCCCAGCCGTGTGCTGGTGCCTCATCCCTTCGTTATGGGATGAAAGATCACTATGCTTTTATACTATGAGGTCAGATGCGCAAAGAATTGGATATTAGATGGATCTCGACATAACCGTGAGTTACCTTGAGGATGCCTAATATAACCCAATAAAGAAACTTTGCATGGAAGACTTTGTAGAGTTTGCCTCTCTGTCTTTCTACATTCAGACAGCAGTCTAAAGACAGAACACTTCCTCCATTGTGAACTCTATGTCCAGGAAGCTGGAGTTCAGTATGGCATGAAAATCTTTCAATGCACTTCTTTTGATAATGACAAACATATCGTTTGTCCCCACTACACGTTAGTCTGTGCGCAGCTCGACACGCAGCTAAACCCACCTATCCTCCAATAAAACAGAGCGTGTGCGTAGGACCGAATGCTTTATTGGAAGAACAGGATAGGGTGAAACTGGGGGAAGGAGGAGAGAAAGGGAAGCAAAGACAAGATAGACAGTATTAAGTTAGCACTGAACATAACAATGAATAAATACAAGCAGTTCGAATCTCACCGGCGACGCGTGGGGTGTAGGTTTGTCCTTGGATGACCATGTGCCACAGGCTAAGATGGATTCTTCTTTGTGCTTCTGCCTTCTTCCAATGCCAAGGGAAACGGAGTGTGGCTTCCCAGCATGCACTTGTTTTGAGAGAGTGCGGGTTAATGGGTAAAGAAGTCAGGTCAGCTTCAAACAATGTATTTGGCATTTGTCTCTCCGGCCACTAGATGGGGTTTAAAGAGCAACGACAATATATAATGTTATATGCTGCGGCATGACACCTATCATCCATGTAGCAGCACCATTTGGCTGGGTGGTTCTGAAATGCACGGCGTTCTAGTTCACACAGAACTGCTTCCGCGAAGACTCCCGATATTGGGGATCCCATAGGTATCCCTTTTATTCGTTCACCCATTTCCCTCTTGAATGTGAGGACGGTGCGTTGACGGTATTGGGGTAGCCTCGTGCGGTTTCTATCCTGGTTAGGTTCTTCTGATCCGTGTTGCGTTCTTCTTCTATTATTTATGATGAGCCACGGTGGCGCAGTGGTTAGAGTGCAGTACTGCAGGCTACTTCTGCTGGCTGCCAGCTGGCTGCAATTCGGCAGTTCAAATCTCATCAGGCTCAAGGTTGACTCAGCCGTTCGTCCTTCCGAGGTGGGTAAAATGAGGAGACAGCTGATTCTGCAAACTGCTTAGAGAGGGCTGGGATGTAAATAGGGATAACTACATCAAAGGAGAACATGATCTCACCGGGAGCCACATTTAGACTTAGATTTACAATAACTTGATTTTCACGTTGAATCTCCACTAATTTCGTTGCTCTCAAAGGGTCTCCGCCTCCAACAGACACTACATCAATATAACAAAATAAATAACAAAACAAACAAATAAATAAATACAAAATTATGTATATAGCCACATATATTATATGACAGGGAGAAATAAGACGGTCTAGTTCAAATGTATACATGTACACGGCGAGAGAAACGAATCTTGCGAGGTTACCAGACAGACGGCAGAGGAAACAAAGACACTACAGAATCCGGTAGTCCTGCTATTTAAGCCTTGTAGTTTTTGTCAGAAATCGTGTGGATGATGTGACCATGGTTATGTCAGGAAATTTAAGCGTTGTGACAGACATTTAGCCAGGTTATAAGTAGGGACAGGGGTGTGTTTCTGAGGGGCTGGCAGGGGCTCGGGAGGGCCCCTAGCTAAGACTCTGTGGGCCTCGGAGAGCTCCCAATAACCTCAGAAAGACAAACAGCCAGGGAAGGCTCTTAATAGGCTTAATTGAACTTCTGGGCATTCAGCCAAAGGCATTTCACACCTGGTAAAAATGTGGCAAGCTAGATAAACAATCCACTCAGCGCTTGGGAGGGAGCGCCATTGAGAAAATCAGATAACATAGCCACTAGCCTTTGAGGGGGTTAATCCCCAAATAATAAGAATCACGCAACTCACCAGAAACTCCACAGAGACTCCAAGATCCCTCGCACAGTCACTGCTATTAAGCCCGATTCCACCCTGTCTCTCATTTGTGTATTAAACGCACAAAAATAATAAACAACTTTTTGGTATATATCCTTTTTTAAGGTAATTAGGGCAAAGAAGCGACGTCGAGTTGGCCACGGCCACCCAGCCGCATGACCACCCAGTCACATGACCACCCAATCACATGACCGCCTAGCCATGCCCGCCTGATCACATGACCACCCAGGCACGCCCGCCCAGCGACCTGACCTCTCAGTCCCATGACCACCCAGCCACGCCTGCCCAGCGACCTGACCGCTCAGTCCCATGACCACCCAGTCATGCGCGCCCAGCCAGTCATTAGGGCAGAGAGCCCCTCGCTAAAAAAAAAAAAATTTGAAGCCCACCCCCCCGGAGTAGGGGGTCCTCCCTTTCTTCCCGCCACTCCACTCTCCGTCCTATTGTCATTGTGTTTGAGCCGGCTGAGCCGAGCATTCATCTGTGCGCGACGTCTTGAAATGGGGAGAACCGACGCGAAAGGATAACCAAGCCGACCTTCTCTATTTCAGACACGGGGCATTGGGGGATCATGGCTGCGCCTACGTCCAGAACGAAAGCCTTCACTCCCAGCCTTGCGGTGACCTAGCCAAAAGCATCTGTGAGACCGCGGTCCAGTTTGGATGGAGCATATAGCCCAGTTTATCAGCCAGGCCACCCCTGCAGCACAGACGCTGTTTCCTGACCTGTTGTTACCGCCGCAGTAGAGTGAAGCCATCGGCCTGCCCGCCCGGTCTGAACTGATACTGGGTTTCCCGTCTGAGCAGGAGGCGTGGGGGTAGGGGCTAGGGTTGGACTAGAAGGCCTTCGAGGTCTCCTCCAACTCTGTTATTCTCCTGTTATTCTGTTACAGTAAATAAATCTGAATTTCTCCAGGCTCAGCTGAGGGCACTTGTTCTCTCCAGACGCTGCTCCGTCTTAACTAATTCCAGGGACAATGGAGAGGCAGTACGGAGCGTTGTGGTCCTGTCCTGCCTTGATGTGACTCAAAATGGCTCTGACCTGCTGGGGCCACAGAGAGGTTGCAGAGCACAAGGGGTGGGGTGGGGTGGGGGGACTTTTTTTGCAGCCTCCTGCTATTGCTGCTTCCTGCAAGCCAGTCTCCCGGACCCCAACTTCCCCCGATAAGACCTTCTTCAGCGGGCTGGCCAAGGTCCCCCAGGGCTAACAGGAAACAAACAAAGGATCCTTGGTCTTGGTTGTTCTCTGCAAGACGGGCAGTTCTAACAATATGAGGGGAAGGGGGGAGGGGAGGGGAGAGAGGAGGGGAGAGGAAGAGAAGGGAAGGGAAGGGAAGGGAAGAGAAGAGAAGAGAAGAGAAGAGAAGAGAAGAGAAGAGAAGAGA